AGGTGGAGGCCATCGCAAGTAGGTTGGAGGCCATCGCTACTAGGACAAGAAGCTGCTAGTAGCGAGGACGCTACTAGGTGGAGGCCATCGCAAGTAGGTTGGAGGCCATCGCTACTAGGACAAGAAGCTGCTAGTAGCGAGGACGCTACTAGGTGGAGGCCATCGCAAGTAGGTTGGAGGCCATTCTAGGAACAAGGTGAAGGCCATCGCAAGTAGGTTGGAGGCCATCCCTACTGGGAGCAAGAATCTACTAGAAGCGAGGACGCTACTAGGTGGAGGCCATCGCAAGTCGGTTGGAGGCCATCGCTACCAGGAACAAGAAGCTACTAGTGGCAAGGACACTACTAGGTGGAGGCCATCGCAAGTAGGTTGGAGGCCATCGCTACTAGGACCAAGAAGCTACTAGTAGCGAGGGCGCTACTAGGTGGAGGCCATCGCAAGTAGGTTGGAGGCCATCGCTACTAGGAACAAGAGTCTAAGAAGCTACTAGTAGCGAGGACGCTACTAGGTGGAGGCCATCGCAAGTCATCGCAAGTAGGTTGGAGGCCATCGCTACTAGGAACAAGAAGCTACTAGTAGCAATTAGATGGAGGCCATCGCAAGTTTGGAGGCCACCGCTACTAGGAACAAGAAGCTACTAGTAGGTGGAGGGTGTTTGTTTCGCAAACCGGGTTTGGCAAGAGATTCAGAACAAGCGGCCAACAGAGCGAAGAAAGTCAGAACATCACTACCAAAGTGGCCAGTGAGTTCAGGTATTCGGTAGAACTATATTCCATGCGATATGCTAGCTCATGCTAGCTCTACGTTCGGACTCTCAATATACATTTGACATTGAATGTGTGGCACGTTTTGTTTCTTGGAGGGCTTGCCTCAATTGCTTTGGCTACGTGACATGTTCGTCGTCCGCATCCAAAGATATGGCTGCAATTCAACGATAAACTCATGTTGTGGTCCCAAGTGTGCATGTCCGGTCTGAAACTTTACATGCCCAAAACAGGATGTGGGAAACATTCTGTAATTGTGAACGGATTAACAACCCTGCGTGGAAGGTCAGAAGGTGCGTATGGAATCCCAAAATCATGTGGAGCATCATCCGACTATGATCATGTGGAGGGATCACAAATGATCAGGAAATCTCCTCATCAAGAGGGATCCTCATGACTACATCTCTTCATGAGGAAAGATCATGTCAAATTGAAGGGGCTTAAGAAAGGGAAGCGAGGCGATTCGCATTACTTTTGGCTCCCGCTTTTGGAAAACTGGCCAGAAGGCTTTGTGAAATGCGGTTGGCATTCCACGAAAATAATATAGTTAGGGTATGTTAATCCAGCCCTCACACCACTACCTGTCATGTTTTTGATCTATACAATTTAAACTGTGTCACTCGCTCCATTGACCTGCTTGGAATTGTATCCTTTTGTCCGTCGACAAGTGCGTCGCCAGATTGAGAGTTGGGGCCTCACGCCTCATGTGCTGTTGCTCCGATGGGTCCTCTCCTTAGCCGGGCAGCTGTCACACCAAATGGGCCGCGCACGGCCAGAGCGGCGGTTGGGGAAGGTTCCAATGCACGACTGCGGCCAATGATTTGTTCGAGCCATTTCGGAAGCTGGTCATGAACCGGATACGCGAAGATGTTCTGCCAGACCATCCGCCAGCTCTTCGTTTGGAAGAACACCAAACGACTGAGGTTCGTTTGCTCTTCCTGCGCGAGCTGAAATTTCCCTCGGATGTGCTCATAGCCACGGGCTCAGCCAAAGCAGCAAGCAGCAGATGTCGACCATGACCAGTCACCAGCACGTGTCGTCAGCACGTGTCGCACCATCCGGGTCAGCACACATCGTTATATCAACTACTACTGATCCAACTCCCATAGATCACCCGAGATGGCGGTTTAATCATTGATCATCCATGATCATTTATTGGGGCTTCGTACAAGCGTCGAGCCAAGGCATGGGACGCGATCTTCGCCGATGCGTGGACACCCGGTGCTGCGAAGGAATCTTCGATCGCCGTGGTTCCAGCAGAAACAGATCGCCGTGGTTTTGGAGAATGCACCATGATGCGCTAGATATTCTGTTGGCATTGGAACACCCTGTTTCATTTTGAGCTCGGTCCGTATTCCGAATTATGTTACATCCATTGGCCAATGGGTTCGGTGATACCCCCACTCTTAAAAATGCAATTGCCCTGGGACGGTACGTCAGAAATTGCATTTTCCAATTGCATTTGAAAAGTGTCTACTTGGCTATCACCAAGTCATTCCAATTGCATTTTATAAATATATACTGCTATTTTAAAATTACTTTTTCCAATTGCATTTGCTATCCAAATCTCGAAATTTGCAATTTTTGAATATACAGAAATCTCCATTTAACGGCCTCCAAAATCTCACATCCGACATCCTACCTGGTAGGATGTCGGATGTGGCCAATTTTTCAATGGAAATTTACATTTAAAGGCATCCAAAATCTCCAAATCTCAATGGAAATCTGCAAACTTTTCAATTCTAGGGGTGTTCATTAATCAAGGGACCACATTAGACAAACATCACTTCAGCAGCCACATCCGACATGTGACTCACCTGAAAACTGACCTGAAAAACATCAAAAACCAAACTCCACATCCAAGACCACATCCGAGACCTGGTAGGATGTCGGATGTGGTCTCGGATGTGGAGTTTGGTTTTGATGTTTTTCAGGTCTTGGAGGCCTTTGGATGGAGATTTCTATTGAAAGTTTTTCAAACCTATCAGCTTTCCAATTGCATTAGCGCGTGGGGGGCTTCTCATTTGTTCGATCCGATCTGGTCAAAGCTTAGGAAGCCCGTGCTCAGTTGGACAAAACCAAGTACCGTCCGGTACCATCCCGCTAGAGATCTGCCAAGTGCTCAGTTGAACTCAGGTGGTTTAACGGTTCAACATGCCTGGAGAACTTCTCCTTTTCTTTGGCCAGAGTCAGGGATAAGATGGGATAAGTCTTGTGCATCCTTCCTTTCATGTAACCATGGTGATGATTAACCTGGTGAATCCCACTGGTCTATTTCCGAATATTTCCACACATTTGGAAGTACCATCGAATAAATGCAACCAAGGTCCCCCTACGTCCACCAAATGCAATTTGGGGAAGCAAAGAAAAATGCAGGACCTTTGGACCCTGGATCCGAAAAACGGGTTATTGCATTGCATGTTTTTTGTTAAACAACTTTTCAACACAACCCATCGGTCAACCCTAGGAAATGACATTTTTACATCCATGTACTCCTAGGGTTGCGCTTCCCAAGGACTTGTTTTTACCCACGAGCCTGTTTTTGGCCCATTAGCTTCCTTTTCTAACCCTACAACACACCTTGCTAACCCAGAAACCGTTTCTTCAAACAAGTCTTTCTCGCATTCCTAGCAGTGTTACTTGGTTTTGTTGCGGTGGTTGGTTTTGCTGGCTGCTGGGGGGGCGCTGTGCCTTGCCCCCAACCCGCACAATCCTAGGACATGCTATTCCTATTGCCTTCCACAAATCAAATTAATATATATATATATACAATTTTATACATGGAAGACACTTACTGGGATCATGATCTGCTTTCACGTGCTACGTTTTGCTGGCTGGTGAGGTGTTTGTGTGCAAAAAACCTGGGCAAATTTTTGGCCGTTGCACCCTTTTTCAACCCTGGGTTTGGATTGTTTAAATTGATATCTCAACAAAGCAGAAAAGTGTCCTGTTGATTTCCTGGAGTTATATAACTTAAAATTGTTAGATGCTGCTCAATTGTTTTGGTTGATCCCCTTACTTTACCTCCAAATGAAGGGGCTAGCGGCTAGTGACCAATGACTACCTACATAGCCTGTAGCCTGTAGTACTATGGAGGAGGCCACAGAAAAGTGGGCAATTTGCATGATCGTGATGGTGTCCTTGCCTCAGAGTTCGTTGGGATGGGACGTCACCTGACATGCAATCAAAATGCCGTGTACGGGTAGCCAATCGACATCCCTACTGTACAACACCCGACCCTACTACAAGTCTCCTGCCTTTTTCGGGGTCTCAACATGTTATCTACATTTAGGGATGGGTCCTTACCTATAGTTGATCCATTATTACTATGTTTTTGTGTATCGAAGGTGGTGACTGGCCTTGCATCGTTTGGGAGCCACCGATCGATGATATGATTGCGCCACGAGTCACGAGTGCTCACGCAGGCCCATTGTGCCAACAGTGATGAGGCCGGCTCGATCCTGTCGAAGACGGTCTTCGCCACCCACGACGGTGAAACACACGAGATGGCACCCGAGATGAACTCATTCAAATTTCAAAGTTACAAGATGTTATAAGACCTTTTTTTGTAGTGCAAAACCTTTTTCTATTTGTTTCTCCCCTGCCGAGGGGGTTGTGGATGCGGAATGGACATATGGATGTGTCACACGGTCTCGCCCTACCAAGACACAAGAAAACATAGCTGATGTATATGCTGATCCTTTTCTTGAACATGCGCATCCAATGTTTGCAGGTTTGGATCGAAGATGTTCAGATTGGCCCACCTTATTGGATCCTACCCTATTGGATCTAGCACTTGGGCCTTCCAAATCTACTTCAGAACACCTTAAAGCCATAGTCCCCTGCAGCCACTGAGCTCTTTTCATCATCTCCCCCAGCTCAGGCGGCGCCCGCGCCAGAAGGGGTGCTTCCCTCCTCGGCAGCCTTGCCCTTGGTTGACTACCTTGCTTTGGCGCCGGGACCCCAGTGGCGCTGGACCGTGGTTGTTTTATTTTTTCGTGGCAGCGGTATCCACGGTTTTCGTGTCAGCAGCGGTGTTGGTTGGAAACCGTTTGGTTGGATCGGCCTGAGTATATGGAGTTCATGGTTGCCATACGTTCACCTTTCTTGGGGTTGGAATGCAGGAGCATGCAGGAGCATGTGTAGGACTCACATACCTAACAAGCACTTGGAGACGGTCAAGAGGCTCCACGAAGCTAAGCAGAGGAGGACGGACCTCTTCAGAGTCCCTGCGCTTGCGGAGTGGCGGCCCAGGATGATTCTGGCAGCGCCTCCTTCCAAGCCAGAAGAGCTCGGTGGCCCAAGACAAGCAGGGAAGCATGGCCTTGGTGCCATGGCGCTGATAAGCAACCACAAAAAAAACATATATAAGTAGAGCTGGAGCCTTTTCCTTTTGGATTGGCGGTTTCAATGCTTGTTTGAGGTCCAAGACTTATTTCGCATAGTTTCAGGTGAACCGGTCGTTTATAGCGAAGATGATTTGGCAGTCATGGTTTGGGCAGTAACCATGCAGTCATGGTTTGAAGTCTGACAGCTGGAAGAGCATGGAAGAGTACGTTAGTATCCCTCGACCAACCTTCGGGTCGCACCCCCCGAAGTCGTAGCAGCCCAGCCGTGTCGCAGCAGCCCAGCCTTCAGACATTTATTCTTCCCTCGCACTCACTAAAATAGGTAGAAGTGGGTTCAACCCCCTACAAACGAAGATAGTCTTCTCAGAGACCATGTTCCATCATGTTCCACTTCCAAGTGAGTGAGTCTGAAGATGTTATCTGCTAGATGAAGTCATTGGCCAACAACCACTACTCCTAGGCCCTTTTTAGGTTGCTGATCGGACCAAAGGAAGGCAACATGAACCGACCCTGAACAGGTCACTCTCCTGCAAATTTGACAATCCAAGTCTCCAGAAAAACTGCGACGATGTGATCTTGTCAGTCTGACGTCGGTGCGCGGGTTCGGGGTCGTTCCTACATCCACGCGTCGACCTTGTGCTCCCAGGCTTTTGCACTTCAATGAGCGCGCGCCGGAGGTGAGACGATGTTGATGTGCATGTGGCGTAGGGTCAAAGGAACACAGAAGCCTACTGCAGCAGTGGTTTGTGCCAGGATGTGCCAGGTTCTCCCAAGGGGTGTTTGTCATGGCCTGGCAGGGCCATAGGGCAACATATGAATAAATCCGTTGTACATATTTCTTGGTGAGGACTTGCTCACACCCAGGACCCAGGAGTGTAAAAGATCACGCGTTTACCAGCTGGTAACGAAACATGAAGACACAATAGACGACCAGTAATAGGATTGACGTTCCAACACGTGTCCTATGCTCAATATTTGCGGTCATTTTGTTTCACCAACAGCACAAGAGTCTGAGTCAGTGCCGTCAATTACGAGAAAACGAAAGCTGAGAGGTTCGGAAGCTCCTGGCCTTTTCCTGGCAACTTCGGGACTTTGCGCCTGGGCGACCCGGATGACTCAGATCTCTAGCCAGCGCTGGGCGCTGGTCACCGAGACGGCCTTGGCTTTCCTTGGCTTGAGGATATCATAACAAGCAAGGAATTTGCACACAACTCCTGAAAACGTCCTATATATACATATTGCAACAAGCATGCAATCAACGGAGAGCATTTCTTACAGCTTATGATAGCTTATGACTGGTGTTCATTTGGGTATATGAGCGGGTCATGCCATTGAAGATGGTATAGAAGCATGTCGAAGCTAGTGCCAAGATCTTACAGGTTTTGTTAGAATGTCGTTTGTTCGTTCAGGGCTCATGGTCGAGTTTGGAGGGATTGACATGTGCATCATCAACTCGGCCCCCAGTCGTGGTGAGCGTCGGCAACATAGCATTCCGAGCGGTCGACCCTAAGAAGCGGCATTGCGATCCGTCCACTGCAGCTCCACGAGTACACTCCAATATCGGACTACGCGCAGTGAAACAAAATGGTCGATTGTTAATAGACCATTTTCCACCGGGGGCTCCTGGCCGTACTATTATAGGAGCAAGGACGCTACTAGGTCAGACGTTGTAGGCCCATCCACGGTGCACCCCTCAAAGCCCTTTCCATGCGCCAGTGTGCCGGAGGAACTCCATGCCTAGACCATCTGGGATGCGTCGGCCGGGAGGCAGGTCTGTCCGTTGACGCGTTGCAACGGCGACAGGCATCGAATCCGGTGATGTCCACGTTCTGCACCCAACCGTCCTGTTGTAGACCTGAAAGCCTGTCGTAGTGTTCACAATTCGCACCGGAGACCCTGTTCGCCAGCCAGGGAGATGAACACCTGTTTAATTTGTCAAAATGGTTTGCAACACTTACCGGTGACTTTTCTGATTGCTCCGTTGGTGTTCTCCAAGGGGCCCCAAGGGGTTGGTCAATCGCATGGTTTTTTTTCCTGCGCTGGAAGTGGGGTTTCAGAGAGCAAGAATGGGACGATTTGGTGCATTTTCTGGTTTGCGGCATTTATATGAGGAGGCTTAGGGTTAATCTGCTTAAGCTATGACAAACCTTATGAAGCAACCAGCCGGCCAAACAACAGGTCTCAGTTCGTGAACTGGCCCTTGAGTTGTCGTTGCCCCAGGAATCAGTTCCCAAAATCCAAGACTGGTTGAGGCTGAGGCCCTCGAGGTGCATCCACCCCCACCCGCAGCCAGGCCGTCCGTTCCCACAGCCGCCGGCTGCCTGCTATCCCAAGATAGGCGGGCGCATTGGAGATGAAGACTTGGACTTGGCATCCACCTAGTTGGAAGACTTACTTCGACTTCTCATTGAACAGAAAAACGTGGTCTTCTTTATGCTTCCTGAGAGGTGGGAGGGCGGACTCTGCAAATAAACGCTCGTTCTGGAAAAGTCATGCATCACAGAATTGATCGTTTTGCATGTTCAACTTTGGGCGTTCTCGATTCTTGAACAGAGCTCTTCTTTGGCTTCGTTGGGCCGTTCGGACACCACGGGGCTCTTTGAGGCTTCAATTGCCTATATAGTAGTTCTGACACCACTTGGTGTTGGTCTCATCCGAACGCCCAGCACCACGTGATTCGATTCGAAAACGAGTCTATAGATGCTAAGAAAGCAGGTGCACGGGTTTCTGGGCAGCCAATGACGAAGTAGAAGATGGATACCGATGTAAGACCCTTTCTATTCCAACAACCGCTGTAAGGGTGTGTATTAACATAGGGATACCTCCCAGTTCGACCCGCTGGAAGAAGGGCAATAGACCAAAACCATCCAAAACCCATTGGTGGTGAGTCTCCCTCTTAAAGTGCACCTGAAGAAAACACATGAAAAACCATGTTGGCGCCTGGAGTCCACTCCTTACCTTAGTCACTGGCCACCCTGCAGACCCCAAAATCCAGTCTCCGGCCAGTTTTCTTCGGCATTTCACGGGAAGACCATGCCTAAGACATCCTTTTTTGGTGGTCCCCAAAGAGTATTCGTTGCACGGTTTCCAATACATGTTTAGTGGGGATTTACTTTTGCTATCTATTTGAGGGGTCTATATAATATATAAGACCTAAGAAAGATCAACGACAGGTGGGGACCTCACAGGACCTCACAGGTGTTTACATTTAGTCGGGTGTACGGACACAACAGACCGCCGGGGCCCTACAGCCATCTACAGCCCTGCATGCTGTCCCACATGCTGCCCCAAGTCCGAGGCAAAAGGAGTCCACAAGGCCCCTCAAATTCGTGGATGCTTCCTCTACACTCTCTCTCCGGGATCCGGTGATCAACTTGAGAACCCCAAGCTGAGCACACCCGCCCCGAACTGCGATCCAGATCTTCCAAGCTGGAGAGGGCCACAAGCTGGCTGACCAGGCACCTCCAGCTTCGACCCCTCGTGCCAGGTGTACAGAAACCTGCTCATAGTGAAAAGGACTGCAGCAGCTTTTGAATTTCCCTCGGTGGTTGGACTGCCCCTTCACATCACCCTTCACAATAAGCGACCGCCCACGGACCTAACAGGCGCTGCATTTTGGCCGGCTTGGAAAGTGTTCCAAAGAGTTAAGTTTATTCTGGTGTGCTTGCGCGGTCATGTGGGGGGGCTCATGTGAGAAGGGGTGTTTGTAGGTCATCCCTAAGTGCGCTTAGGTCGAGACATTGGAGTTGCTTTCATCATAGCTGTGCGGCAAGTGGGGCCTGGACAAACTGAGTCCTCTTCCACCAAAGACATGCAGAACAAGACCATTCCCGCACCAAGCGGGCGACTCCATGGGCCACGAGCGAGGTGCCGCGTGCGAAGCACGAAGCGTGCGGTACCGGCGAGATCTTCGGCGATCGGCTTCGCGAGGATCACCGCTACAGCATGGGCGACTCCATGGGCGGCGAAGTCTTAGGTCACGCCTTAGGCCGTGCCAATGCATGTGCCGATGCATGTGCTGATGCGTGTGCAATTGGGAAGGGAAGGGATAGAATGAATGCGATGGATCCAATTAATTGGTTTCATTGAAGGATCCAAGGCGCTTTGGAGTTGGGCAATGAGAGGTACTTCCATCTCAACGCCTTGTGAGGTGGACAACTTGGATAACTTGGGTCAGTGGCCAGCATTGGACATGTGGGAGTGGGCCTCCGGATTCATTTTTGGAGTGTATGGATCTCAAGTGCATGGAGCTAAGGACAAGTCCCCCACCCTCAAAGCCGCTCAAGGCGCCACAAAAGCCGCTTGTGCAAGTCGCCACACAGCGGTCAGGCTGGGCGGCCTCGCGGCTGTCCGGGGCCATCGGAGGCGTGCTGAGCGCCGAGAAGTCACCACCCAGGCCGGGCTGAGCGCCGAGGGGTGGAGAGGTCGAATCCTTCGGTGGCGATGGAGTGGAGAGGAGAACACATGAGATTTGTTTGTCAAGATAGGCCGGTAGCCCCACCATGGTGACCTCGGGTCAGACCTGTTGATTTCAAGATGATCCGGATATGGTGACAGCATCAGTGTGAAACAATGTGTTTAGCACCCCTGGACCAATGGAAACCCAAGCATCAACCTCCAACAAACATCCTGGTTGCTCCCACAAGTTGGTTGTAGCCTAGAGCATCTCCAGATATCTCTAAAATGTTCTTATATGGGTTGGCAGTTGGTGGGAAACTCTTACGTAGTAGTATAATACAGTGTGTAATTTTTAGTGTGTTTTCTTCTCAGGCCTCTTTTGGGAGGGCCCCTAAAATTCCCAATGTCCGTATGAGGTGTGATCGTAAGTGGAGCTCCTGGATTGATGTCCCGCTGATTTGCATGTCAGTGCTCAAACATTGTAGAACGATAGGCGGGCTCACCAAATCGGTTACCGAGAACAGGCATAAGTTGGGCTTGCCCTATTACCTGTAACAGTCCGTAAACAATTATCATAATTTTTGTAACGAGGCCTTTACTAACCATCATCATCCATTGTTACTGGTAATGGGATAGACCCAATTGCATATGCAATCAATTTTGACCGTGGCTCATATCTTGGGGGACTGGCCGAATGAAACTCATCTTGCAAGGACCAAAGAGATCCAAGCAGAGCCCGCGGAGCCTCGACGGCTGGGGACCTGAGCGTAAGAAGCAGCCCACTGAGCTGCAGTGTTGACAGCTTTTTCGAATCTTTCGGCATGCGGTGTTTTTCTGTTTGTTTCAGCATGCGTTTCCGAGCCAAGTTCAAAGCCTAGCGTTTATTTAAACATATAAAGTGTTATGTGTACTTTATGTTTTATTCAGAATGTTGATCATCCACAATGGGAACATGTTTTGATTTAGAGTTCACCCCTGGAGTTCCCACATTCAAGGACGTGAATCGCACATGTTTTGCGTCCAAGAACATGGGACCTTCAGAAGAAATCCCTCAGCTAGAAACGCCCTCAAGAAGAACTGAGCTTTGAGTGAGGTTGCACACTTCGTGTATAGATGACACGTCATGTATAGTTGATGTCTAGGAGCACTTATCCAAGACTGGAATTGTCATGTAAAGACTTGCATCATCGGTAATCGGCTTTGCCGTTTGCACTGTGTCACTGGACGCCAACCTGATTTGGCTCAAGACTGGAAAAACTAAGGTTCGTTGCCCGCCATCGAAACGTCGCATCGACGGGTTGACGGGTTGATTGAACGTTGTGTTGAACTTCCAGGGAAGAGCAACTTATCTCCTTCGTGGTTTCCGGGACGTAAAAATTAGATCCCGCTAGGGGAACTGAATGGAATTTGATTCCCTTTGATTTCTGACGCGCATGGCCCATAACTCGCAAGCGGCGACCGTTGGAACCGTCGACCGAGGAACGGTCGACGCTCGAGCGACCCCTTGCCCGCTCCGCCCACGCCTGACGTGGCACCCAAGAGGTGCCCAACGGTGCCAACGCGCGCGGAGTGCGTGGAATGGACAGGTTTTGTTAGACTCCCAGACCATGAAATAGAACGGTACAGTAATTCGAGTGTAAATCGGAATGTACAAACATGTTAAAGTTTGTTTTTGTTTGGGCCTGCTTCGTCCAAGACTCGTCCATTTCGCCTGGATGGTCCCCAATCACGGGCAGTTCTCTTGCCAAATGCGGGCAGACTCACCAACACTGAAGTGGGAGATGCAAGCACCCTGAGGAAAACAGTCCAGTTTGGCCAGGGCAGTTAGCATTCGAACACTACACACTTGGGGCCTTGGCATCGCAGGAAGTACAGCTTTCCAGCCGAGAAGGAGTCGCCGTTGCTGTCAGGAATGCAGCGGAGCGTGTTGCAGGATTGGTTCATTGATTGGTTGGATTGGTTCATTGATTGGTTCATTGGTTCATTTGTTGCAGGATTGGTTGGTTGAGATTCAGTGCTTTGGGAATATTTGGTCGTAGAACACGCCGGAACTTGGAATCAGCGCACACTGGCAAAAGCGTCCAGCAAGAGAAGAGACTCATTGCAGTTCAGCAACAACAGCACGTATTGTAGTACGATGTAGTACACATACATCAGAAAAGAATACGCGTATAATACCAACCAAATACCAACATGAACCTCATGCACCATCCTTTTTGAGTCTACACCGGTCCCCTTGATCCCACCGCTTTCTCAGGTCTTACACCGAGCCCACCGAGCCCAAGGGTGCAGGTCGGGTGTCAATGCAAGATGTCGTGAAATCGTTGTCAGATGTCACTTGCGAGCTTACACCACCAAACAGTCATGTTGAGGTTGAGCCCTTATAGGGCTCCAACCATATCCTCAGAAGGTGGTTGGACCCCTGGTGCCCACCCCAACCATCATCTCAGGAGGTAGTTAGAGCTCTAGGGAAGAGTCAAACTGGAGGGGTTTTCAGAGAAACTTGCGTTCCACATTTTTTTGCGTCATGGTCGTGTTTTTCGCTGCGCGTGTCTTCCACAAAAGGCGAATTTGCCACTTACCGCATTGTACAGTGATACTTGGGGACATGTCAGACTTCAGCATCGAGACTCGTGTAGTGGTCCAGGACAACACTTTGATGCCTACAAGGCTTACTAAATACATGGGTTCATGCCCCACTCCCAAAACTGCAGGTTTTGGTGTTCAAAAAGGAGCCACTGAGTCCGCGTCACTCGAATCCTTCACATGAAGACTACAAGCTCCTCCAGCAAGACAGCCCTAATCAATCCTAATTATCCTAATTTCCAGCAAATCAAATTTTGCGATGCTTTTTGGGTCTTAAGGAACTTCATGCACCATCTCCGCCAGGCTGGGGCCAGAGGGAAAACGGGACTCATTCCTTTTCGGTTCGCGCCAGGCGAGCCGTTCTTTCGCGAGGCGAGGGTTCCGGGTTGGAACCACGCGGGTGGAAGAACGTGCTCATACACTACAACTGTCCCCAGGTTGGGCATGATACCGAATCCAACACCTGCAGGTTGGCAGCATATTGAACATTGGACGTTTGACTCGGTATAGGTCTTCTTGGCAGGCGGGTGGGTTCATTCCAGACCGATGCTTTGCACTACAATTGGTGGAACGCACCGTGTTTTTTCACTGCGAAGAATGTTATGGATTGATATCGGTTTCTAATTTAGAGCTTATGATATTGGGTCAGTGCCCTGAGGTAGCACTTTGGTTTAATGTCAGTGTGCCTTTCGGAATTGGAAACTATGCCGTACATGGATTTACCTCATCATATCCCACCATGTGAAATTTTGATACAAAGAAACGGGGGCATTGGGGGAAGCTATGGATCTACTGTAGATGTCTCTAGGCAACCCGCGCTCTTCTGTCACATGGGGCTAAATCACCACTCGCCACAGCCTGTACTCTGAGTTTTGGTTGTTTTTGCACTGCTTGCAATTTGCCCGCCCACCTATGTAGCCAAGGCTTTTGATTAGCACATGAGGGGAGATGTTTACATGGCATGTTTAGGTGTAGGGTTCCGCTGCATTGTCCGAAACCCATTGACTTCTCCAAAAGCTTGCTGTTCTGCGTTTGGTGGGATATTTCCAGAACTCACCCCATCGTGCCAAGCGATTCGACTAAAGACCTGACCAAAGATAATATGTAGGAACCAGACTCACTTATATACCCCTTGCTTCCATAGGTGGGTGCAACGGTTGTGCCATGCTGGCTCGTAGGATAAAAGGCATTGACAGGTATAGTTGGCCCATGTTGGCTCTTCTATGCAAACCACTGCATGTTGGATCAAACTTGGATCACAACAAAGCGACCTTGTCTATTTTCGCTGTGCCCTGCGACACCCAAGCAAAACCGCACTCAAAATCTATCTCGTCTATAGGATATGTGAAACATGAAGCATGCTATTTTTTGGGAAACCTTCATTGCAAGGACTTTGCCCGGGTTGCCGCTCGTGGCGGCCTGATGCTGCCTGAGCCATGGGGATTTGTTGTTCCCGCGTGTAATACAGCACGCCGCAAGTTCAGCTTTTGGTTGGTTCTGAAAGTTGCAGCCATACAAATTTCCCCGAAGGTTACCCACAATACTATACATGTAGAATATATATATATATATAATATTATTGTAAGATATATATATATATATGTTGTTTGAAGCTCCATACTTTCCAGATATCCAAGGACACACCCTCCCAGAGACGAAGGACCGGGCGTCCGAAACAATAAAACGTGTCGAGCGGGCTGGTTGGTACCCAGAGCCCCGGCACCGCCGTCGTTCGCAGGCCGCTCCTCCGGCCGTTTCAGCCGCCCTCCGGCCGCCGTGCGCGCCAATAGCAGCGCACCGAAAGTTGGGGAACCCATGAAGGCTTTGATTCCCTGTTCCCTCCTTGCAGAAGACGCTTGCCTTTGATGATGGTAGTCTGTGGATGGAGCTGGTGAAAGAGTCTTGCTGTCGTTGCTCCCCTTGGAATTGGGTTTCTTGCCTAGCTGAAGCCCGCAAGCTTCAACACTTGTGGCGCCTTGGAACAGAATGCGTTCCTGTCGCGTCCCAACAAAAGGTTCCACCCAACCTGCCAACCAGGCTGGTAAAGAAGTTGTATTGAAAAGGCAGTTGGTTCTTTGTTCCTCCAGATGGTTTGACACTAATAGAAAGAAACAGCAAGCTGGATGTGGTTTCAGGCCTCGCGAGCGTGGCAACTCCGATGAGACGGATGTGAGGCTAGAGGGGTTGGTCAAGCAATGCGGATATTGGCAAAAGAAAGAATTTGGGGAGTTTCACGGGGCTGGCATGTTGTGGAGTTGTGGATGTTCACAAGCAGATTTGTGAAGCCTGAATGAATCATGCCCATTCTTGGCACCGTTTTGAATCACACCTTCCTTGTGGCCTGGCTGCCGGCCCGCTGGCCAGCGACATCGTCCAGATGTTTGGGTGTGCTTCGTCCGTGTTCATCGCTGAGTACACGACGATAAGCCCTTCTTGGAACGATGTGCCAGCTGTAAGCGGCCATTGGCACTGGTTCAAATGGGAAGCAGAATCTTCATGAATCTTCTCTATCAAGTTTTCTGGCGAATTGAAAGAAATGAAGCTTTGCCAAGCAGACTGTGTGTGTGTTTTTCATGTTTTTGCCTTGGAGTGGAGGTGCTTGCGTGAAGTTTCCACCTTCCATTTTCCTCGGTGCCCGGATTCATCACGCAGAGAAAGACGATTATTACAGTGTCTATTTCCCGCCCCCTCTAAGGTCTATGGCGCGGTGTCATTTTCATTTGCATAGACATTCATGGAAATCCAGAGTCCATACCCGAATGGCAATCGATAAAGGAGAAAGATTGGAGACATGTAGAATGAAACATGTTGCCCATCATAAAGGCTCCCTGATGCATAAACCGGCCAGACCAATCCCTCCAAAACAAACCCCTCACACTGACAACAGCACAGCTTTTAACATCTCATGTGGTTTCCAAACCTTGACTCACTGTGTCCCCAAGGGTTTCCCTTAGACGAATCTTCCCTAAGCAGTATGTTCTGTTTGGCCTAAGAGACATGTGAGTGTATGTAAGACCTTTTGTTGGAGTGCTGCTTTCGTTTGTTCTGCTGCTTAACATGGCAGACTTGTGGAACAGTAGACCGGGCAGCTTTTGTAGTTGGATTTCAAGTTAAGCAAGGTTTAGAGTGCCCATGACGGATTTGAACACGATTGTATGCGGAAATGCCCTGCCTTAGCTGGCTTAGTAATACAAAATATACAATAATGCTGAGGGCTTCACAAGAGTGCTTGACCTCCAAAGGCCTGAAGAAGTGCTGCAGTGCTACATAGCTTTCCTGACAAGCCTTCAACATATCCAGGCAACCACTTCTTCAAATCTTGCAACAGCCCCTTGCGCAAATTCATACCTCCCCAGTCGTCATGAATTCCGCTCACCCTTCCCGAACCAAAGAAACAGAATCCACTAGTCTCAAAAGATACAGCATTTAAAAAAAACACATTTGCCACAGCATTGCCAAACATAAAGAAACAGCGTTTCCCCCGGGTTTCGGAGGCTGCTTCAGTTTCACCACTGGAGCCGACCGCGCACCCGACCTCCGCCACAGCTTCTGGCCACTCTCGCCGGCGCTCTCGGAGATCTCGCAGACCAGCTTGTCGCAGCCCAGGTGAAACGTCGTCGCGTGGGGAGTGACAGTGAGAGCGGGGTGAAATCGGTGGCCTCGTGGCCTAAATCCGTGCAAATCGGTGGAATGACTAGTTGCAAGAGAACGCTACTTGGAACAAAGGGCATCGCTACTAAGAGCAAGGACGCGACTAGTAGCTCCTGGCCATACTACTAGTAGCAAGAATGCTACTAGGAACAAAGGGCAGTGTGTGTGTGTGTGTCGACCTTTATCTTTCTTCTTTGCAGCTGAGATTGCAAGTGACCAATGTGGGTTTTGCTGGGGTTTTCTTGGTTGCGCGGGATTTGTCGAAAATGTGGACGAGTGTTTGGAGCTTCCATAGAGCAATAAGAAGTGGGCAGGTTGGCATAGACTCAATGGTTTTGCCGCAAGGCATCGCAAAGCAATAGAACACGTTGTGTAAGAGTTGCCCTGTAAATGAACAGCCGGACCAAAAGTATAACCACTGACAACGCCTTGATCTCAAGCTGCGCATGCTGCGCCAGGTTTAAGGGCTTGTTTAGTGCCAGCCCTTTGCCCGTAAAGCTGACAAGTTTTGCAGTCTCACGTGATCGATGTGGGTCAAATTCAATTGACTTCGAAGTCATGAAGATTTGTCGAGTTTAATTGAATGCTTCATGGAGGTGGGATGCACGGACTGAAGGTTTTGTTCCGTGCCAGAACTGAAGCCGTAAGCAGGGGGCAATTCATTCTCAAGAGATCCATGTCAGGTGACATATGCTGACGGGGTCAGAAACCGTCCCAAGCACCCAACACTGGTGGGTGCCCCCAAGTAACCCATGTAGCATAGAGGAATCCAGGAAGTCTTCATTTTCCCAAACTTTCCCCTTGCCCGGAAGTGGGTTGCATTGTCCCGTTGTGGATAGTAAAATTGTAAAAAGCGTTGCTGGCACGACTCCTGCACCGGCACCGAAAAAGAGGAGCACGACATCTACAGTGGTTTTAGAGTAGATGGCACGATCCCCAAGTTTGGTGGATTTTATAGACCCTCATTGAAAACATCTTTGGGTTTGTGCCATTTGCGAAGATCTTTGACGCTATAAATATTACATTTGTCAGGTGGACAGATCCGATCGACTCATGGCTTGCCAGGCTGGTGTCCGAGCGCCAAGGCCTCGGAGAAAGACTTAGACTGTGGCTTTGAGCGGAGCGTGTGCAGACTCAGACACTGGGAGGTGGGCCCCTTTCTTCGGGATGCAGGATAGAACATCCGAAGGCTCTGCGTTGTTCATCCGCTTCGGGCGCGGCACGGAATTGGTCGCTTGAGGCCACCCGTGCGACAGGCAGCCGGGGATGCTGGGAATTCGGGGCCAAGCTGGGAGGCTGCTGGTGAACCGGCAGATTTGCCAGTGATGATGCACTTGAGAAGCCCAAGGTTTAAAGGCCAGGGAGGAAGTGCCGAGCGGAATTTTGGACGTCTTAGGCACCGGACCGGGCCAAGTTCGAGTGGCTGTAGAGGAACTTGAACCCCTAGGGGTCCACACATGCGACTCCTTCAATCATGGGAACAACATGGAACAAACACATAGATTCTAGATTGAGTCTTGAGGGGCTTTGCTCCTAACTTGCCCTAATTTGATCATATAATATATAATATAGTAATGTATCCACATGCATAAACACATGCACAACCACTAATCACTATACTTGTTTGATTTGTTGGTTCATTCAACAGCTTCAAGCTATTCATGCCTCATGGTGAACAAACCATTCTCCTTGGAGGACGTCTTCACCGAGGGAAGAGGCTCTCAGGTACGCGGTCCACCTCACGGGGTTGGGCGATCCGGGCAGGCCGAACTGGGGAAGAAACAAATACACTAGAATATAAAATTAGCTAGAATTGATCATGTTAATGCAATTCGCCATGGTGCCAGGGGCATGCTTCCACCTTTGGAATTGAATGATCAGGGATGTTGAACACCAATTCAATCTAAGTTTCAGTGGGCGCTGGATTAAATCTTCAACACTCCCACGGCGTCATGAAAGTTTCTTTTCCACCCCGCCTCAGGAGTTCATTTTGCAGGGTCGCTTGCGGTTTTCCGGATCGTATGGCGGAGCCATCAATCCCCTTCCCTCGCCATCACTTGCATTCGCCTTCACCTCAGGTACCAGACTCACCGCAGCCCGGGAACTTGGCGGGTCAAACAAATCAAACACGCCGGGTGCGGTACTTAGGCATCAGATGAGTTGGTTGAATGGATGGTGCCCACTGGTCGGGGTAAGACTAGCAATTCGGACACCGGAACCACGTCCCAGCCGGAAAATGCACATCTCCCTTCCCCAGGAACACCCCCGAGCCCTTAGAGCTGGCCATGCTCGCACTGGAAGCAAGCTTCGATGGGTTCAGAAAGCCGGCGCTTAGGCTTTTGTGGGATTTCGGATTTGCGTGTCAGCTTCAAAGGCGGAGGGGTGACTTCGATTTCTTTACTGTATTGTTAACAGTTGTTTGGGCCATTAACTTGCAAAAAAGCACGCAACAAACGGGTGTGTGCCTTAAGATGGTGGAACTCCCCGCCATCTCATGCTCAGTGTTTTCAATCCAACCCGGCAATCCGCTTCTGCATTCAGCCGTAGCATTGATGGAGAACATGTATCCTCTACTGCCTCTTCAAAGGGCGGAAGATTCCTCAGGCAGGGAACCTCCCACTTGTTTTAGTGCGATATTGTGTGTGTCACAGGGGGGTCAGAATTGATTTGTTTGGCACCTTTGCCACCTGGTCGAAGCTGCATGTTTTTTTCTAAGGATCCGAGGCTTGTTGCCCTTCCCCAGAGTGCCGCTAGGCTTTACACTAGTGCAGCGTCGCCACAAGTTGGAGGCAGAGATTTTTGTTTTTGTTTTGTTGCATGTTTTTGCTTTGCTATATGTGTATTTTTGGGTGCCTGTTTGGTCATGCATGATCTTGTCATATCTTGTCCATCTGTCCATCAAGAGCTAGAGTTGATCCCCATCATACTATACTGCCAGGAGCCACACAGGCCTGACATGCTGGATTTTTGATTTACCTCAGGCTGCCGGTCTGCGGTCTGCCACCGGGGCAGGTGGAGCTTTGCCATGCTTGGCCTAGGTAGGGGTGAACGGGCCCCGTTCACCCTGCCTCTGTGCTATGAAAACGAATTTAGCGAAGGTGTGCTTTGGTTTTGATCTTCAGCACTGTAGGGTTCCAATGCGCTAAGTGCATGACAAGGGCTCACTATCTTTGTGTAATCCGGTCCACCTATTAAAAGACACGGGCCCCCCCACTCCCCCCACCCCCTAATAAGGAACCTCGGTCGCACTTTTTTAAATAGGGGGGTCAAAAATAGGGTCACCTGGGAAGAGCTTCAAAACCAAAAAGTAACCCACTAAAATTTTATATAAAGTAGTTTACTAAACTCGTATCAAAAATTCAAAAAAAAACACCAGATCCGAAGGGTCTTCCTTTTCCCCTACAAAACCTTTATTAGAATAGGGATTCTTCAGTAGACTAACAGCTAAAGTTTTCGAAAGGTGATGCCATGCGGTTTTGCATGACCTCGGTGGCAAGTGCGTTTGCGTGAGTCCGTGCCATTGGGGGAAGGAAAGCCTGCTGGTGTAAGTGCAGCGTGTCATGGTGGATAGACAGGGCGGACAGAGGTGGGCAGTTACGGTTGTTTTTGGAACCTAATTTTAAAATATCCTCCAAAATCGGCAATGTTGGTAGTTCAGTAGCGGCTTGAAAGGGCGGTATTTAAAAAACGAATATAAATCGTATTAAGGGGGTTTCCGACATGACTTTTTTTGAGTAAGGGTCCATTTTTTAAAATGGGCACTCGGCATATATATATACATATATTGACATATAGATATAAGTATATATATGCAGAGAGAGAGGGAGTCGTAGCCGTTTGTTTCCCAAATGCATGAAGACTAATGACAAGGCTTCATGGCTCCATTGGCGCATTTGTTCTGCCAAGATCCAACGGTGCCACGCATTCGCGCCGGGGCATCTGCCTGGCACGAATGCGTGGCAGGCTTAGGCAGTGCTGACCCCTTAGGGGTCCCAAGGTACTTCTGCATTTGTTAGACCTTCCAGGGCTCCTTTGAGCATCCCTTGTTAGTTGATCCCCCCTTGTGCTGACATTTTGACTTGCATGTGTCAACCCCAGGATGTACATTTAATTTTGTGAGCTGAGACGCCTCCGAGATGAGTGGATATGTTTCGGTGAGCACTTGCTTTGATTTTGCAAGTGCGGTGAGTCATGAGTAGACGCAGTCTTCCCAGTTGAGTTGTGAGAATCTAAAGTTGTCGGACCCGGTGTTGTGCCAGCGTATTCTCGAGGCTCTAAATCTTCAAGTCAACATTGATGCTACCACCATGGAGTTTGCATGAATTTGCCCTTGGAAAGATTGTTCTAGAGTGCGCGGAAAAGAACATTGGGTTCAATCGATTCAACGTTCAAACTGTCCTTTCTTGAAGGATCGATCGATTCCTTCATAAAAGCTCATCCTTCATAAAGGCTCATCCTTCATGGGCATCCGTTTCTCAAAACAACAAGCATTTCCTCAAGTATCCAACATGGTTTCGATCATCCAGTGACGGAATGCTGCGTACAAGGTTTGTGTGCCACAAGTATCAAAACATGTTCACCGATTAACATGGAACCTGAGAATGGACCTGACTGAAAGACAATTTTCCTCTACAACCCGACGGTTTTCAGGTTCCAAGCTAACTTTCCAGGGTGTATCCACATACTGTAGTAGCAAGAAACTACTAGGTGGAGGCCATCGCTAATGGGTTGGAGGCCATCGCTACTAGTAAAACATGTAAAAAGAAGCTACTAGTAGCAAACTCCAAATTTGAGGCACATGACACAGGTAGTGACTCACACCCCACTGGGATGAAAGGCCTCGATGACTGGATCGAGAGCACTATCGTGTTAAGAACGTTTGCATCTTCTCGGCAAATTCGACATCGTACCCTTCGGGCCCTTCGAGCATGGAACTGGCTTTTGTCCTTTGAAACTGCATACATTAGATAGTGTGTGTAAGATCTCCCTCCTTGTATATGCTGCAAATGTGAGTCTTTTTTGTAAGCCTTTTTTCATTCAATCCGATTAAAGCCCTTCTACCTTCCCTGTCCACATGTTTCCTTGCCCAAACCTCCTTTGTGAAAAAGCTTAGCGTTCGCAGTGATTTTGCACCAAGGCTTCCAATCTCGCATATGCTCGAATCGTTCAGATCTATATACTCCGTGGAGTATGCAGAATTTCTGCCTATGATTAGTTCTCCCAGATATTACATGCAAAAAGTTTGAGCACATGCACGGATCCTGCGTTTGCCGTCCAAACATTCAAGCCTTTGCATACCTTTTGCAGTGATTGGACGGCTAGGTTTCTCAAAGTGTAAGGGAGTTGTTGACTTGGCTGCCTTTGTTTTGGTTGTTTTGAGAATTTGGGGTTGGGATGGGTTGGGATTGTATACCGTATGCCTGTGTTTTCACAAACCAATTACAGTAAACGTATAGATGTTACATCCCAAGCGAAATTGAAAGGCCCCTGAAAAGCTTATCAACATTATGCTTGAAGTAATGTTCAGCACATGCTACTTGGTAAAATGTTACATGGTGGGTGCCGCAGTGCCGCATGAAACGGCTTTGTTTAAATACTTTCTGTAGCTTTCTCCAGATGACTTTCCTTTGCCTCGGTGTCTCTCCGAGGCACGTCCCACCGGGCCAACCCTTTTGGGCCCCACTGGAGCCGGAGGCAGATCTTGCATCGGAAGGAGTTCCAAAAGGCTGATCTAAAGGTACACACGCGCAGACGGACAACATAGAAGGTCAAAACCTCCCTGTGATTTTGTTGCGATGCGATTGGGACTCCAACCAACCTTCGAACTCTTCAACGGTGAAAAAGCATGTATGTTAATAGATTAAATGTAGCATGGGTGAACATTAACATTGAGGGATGGAGTTTGCTCAGCTAAAGGGAGGAGCGACTTGGTTCAACTGTGCACCACCTGGTCCTTTTTGCAATTATCGGGCTCAGGCTTTGCAGGCACAGAGAGTTTACTTTTGTCGGAACATGGCCTGGAAGATATTTGGATACTAGCATTTGGGATCAGCCCCATGCAAAAGAACAAAGGATCTCAAATTGTTTGAACATTCAAATTGGACACTTGAAGGGCCGATCGCTATGATTGTTGTTATTCTATGAGCCAACCTGAGACATGCTTAGTGACATGACCTGGCCCCTGTGTTCACTCACTACAATGGCCAGACAAAAGTTGCGTCTTGAAATTCAATCTCAACCCATACCCCCGGAACCTATATCCTACACTGGGAGACCTGGGGACCGTCCCACACGGTGAATCCGACCAAAATGGGACTTGTTTTAAAACGACCCGCAGCTGACGGTGAACAGCATAACTGTTGCTTGCCTGAATGTATCCTGAATGTATAGGCGGCATTCTTGTCTTTCCCAGTTCACTTGGCGATGTTGCACGGATCCGGGAAGAGCCAGGGAACATGGGTCATTTTCCAAGCCCATTGAAGAGCTGCTAGAGGGCGCTTGCGCCCGCCCTTCATGGCCGTTCGTTTGAGGTAGCGGGACCGGAGAACACCGAAGACCCGCAGCTTGGCAGAGACCGGAGATGGTGGCATACGGTGTGACAGGAGAAGGACGATGACATGCAACATGCACATTACATGCGCCTTCATGTCATGGAGCCGGTGAATCTTTGGGTGACAGCTGGTGAAAGCCCCTGAAAGATGATGTTGCAAGGTGTGTAAGGTTCGTGTGGTGTCGTTGTAAGGTGTGTGCCAGTGTTTCAGCAAGAGTCTTGCTCCTTGAATTGATTCTTCGCCGTGGCATTTGCGTTGGGGTCTAGGCAGATCGACCCTGGCTGCACCACGGCTTTTGCAAGGGATTCTTCATTATTGGTTTATCCTTTATGGGATCTTGACTCATCAGCGGCTATTCACTGATCTATATAACTAAGCTTCTTTCAAAGTGAGACCTACCTCCTGCAGAAATCGTGCGAGCAGCGCCAAGAACCCCCATGCACAGGAGTTCTTTTGTGTCTGTATATTAACACCACTCATTTCCAACTGTTTACCTTGCAAGGTCGCTGGTTTTGTAACCGCTGATTGTTTACAAGCTGAGGTTATAGCTGGCTGATTCACAGAAACATGTCGACACTGTGGGACCTGGGAGCTCTTCAAATACCATGAAACCATGTTCAGCCATATTCATCCGTTCTCACTCATGAACATATTAATCCCAGAGAAAGCGTTGGATCTCACCTCGCCTAGAACCTTTGGCCTCGGCCGTCCCCGAGGCAACCCAGCGAGCCAAGTGCCGAGGGGGTCATGAAGGCCGCTTTTGCCGAGCCGTGCGGGCCACGGTCGACGACGCGGCAGACGTGTTACAGCATGTTACGGCTACCATATGGGGGGTAGTAGACATAAATCTGAACTCCAGTATAGATGAAGAAGCGTCCTTGCTCCTAGTAGCGATGCCCTTTGCTCCTAGTAGCTTCTTGCTACTAGTAGTAATGCCCTTGTTACTGGTAGCTTCTTACTCCTAGTACTAAGGCCAGGAGCCCCTAGTAGCGTCCTTGCTCCTAGTAGCGATGCCCTTTGCTCCTAGTAGCTTCTTGCTACTAGTAGTAATGCCCTTGCTACTAGTAACTTCTTGCTCCTAGTAGTAAGGCCAGGAGCCCCTAGTAGCGTCCTTGCTCCTACTAGCGATGCCCTTTGCTCCTAGTCGCTTCTTGCTACTAGTAGTAATGCCCTTGTTACTAGTAGCTTCTTGCTCCTAGTAGTAAGGCCAGGAGCCCCTAGTAGCGTCCTTGCTCCTAGTAGCGATGCCCTTTCCTCCTAGTAGCTTCTTGCTACTAGTAGTAACGCCCTTGTTACTAGTAACTTCTTGCTCCTAGTAGTAAGGCCAGGAGCCCCTAGTAGCGTCCTTGCTCCTAGTAGCGATGCCCTTTGCTCCTAGTAGCTTCTTGCTACTACTAGTATTGCCCTTGTTACTAATATAGAATTCCAACAGCTTACCAATCCCAGTTCGGTTTGTGTTTGGGACTCTTGGATGGTCTTGAATTCTTTCCCACTGGATGCCCATCCAGCCACACTTGTTTGGAGGGTAATCTATCAGTTAGAACTCGTGAGTGTTTTTCCCCACCTGCCAGGTGAGGGTTGTTAGATTTTATCACAGCTGTTCTTCCTCCTCCGCCTCCGCCTCCGCCGCCTCCTCGTCCTCCTCCTTTCTCCTTCCTCCTTGCTTCCTTCCTCGCCAATCTGCTTCGCCGATCTTGTCTGGCCAGCTCCGGATCGCAGTGTGCACCCCTGGACCTCAACTCGCAGTGTGCACCCCTGGACCTCAACCGCAAGGATCCGATCGCAGTGTGCATCCCTGGACCTCAACCGCAAGGATCCGATCGCAGTGTGCACGCCTGGACCTCAACCGCAAGGATCCGATCGCAGTGTGCACCGCTGGACCTCAACCGCAAGGATCCGATCGCAGTGTGCACCGCTGGACCCCAACCGGATAGTTTGCCAAATGAAATCCACAAACACACAATTGCAAACACACGACCACAAACGCGCAACCACAAACACACAACCACAAACACAATCACAAGCCCACAATCACAAACACACAACTACAAACACAACTGCAAAGACACAATCACAAACACATACTGTAACCACAAACACATAACCACAAACACACAACCACAACCACAAACGCACAATCACAAACACAATCACAAACACAATCACAAATACAACCACAAACACGCAACTACAAACACAAACACAAACAAACACACAACTACAAACACAACTACAAAGACACAATCACAAACACACAACCACAAACATACAACACACAACCACAAACACACACACACAAACATACAACCACAAACACACAACCACAAACACACAAACGCGCAACCACAAACACACAACCACAAACACAACCACAAACACATCCACAAACACAACCACAAACACACAACCACAACCACAAGTACAAACACACAATCACAAAGACACAACCACAACCACAACCACAACTACAAACACACAATCACAAAGACACAACCACAACCACAACTACAAACACACAATCACAAAGACACAACCGCAACCACAACCACAACTACAAACACACAATCACAACCACTACCACTACCACAAACACACAACCACAAACACACAACCACAAACACACAACCACAAACACAACCACAAACACACAACCACAAACACACAACCACAAACACAACCACAACCACAACACAGCACACAACCACAGCGCACAACCCGAGGACCCACAAGCAACATCGAGAACTACAATACTGACGACTATGGCAACATGCTCCTCACTATGGCATCAAGACAAATGATTGAAATGTCATGGTGTAAGTGGGCTAAGATTAGCAAGGGCCCCTTACCTGGCCCCTTACCTTACCTTAGCTTCGATGGGGTTTAGCCCCTTTACCTTCGTGGCCGCTCCCGCGCAAGGAATTGGAGGCCCTACAGGCAATGCTCCAATCGAAGCCCGCAGCGGCTGCTTGAGAGGACAGGAAACGTGTCACACTGCGGGAGTTGCCGCGTGGGGCGCGGCACACTGCACGTGGGGCGCTTCTGCTGCTTGTGCGAAAGGTGTGACGTTAAGGCAAAGGAGACCAAAGATTTTGGAACACTTTACTCGGAACCATTTGGAACCTGATATTACACAGTATAGAACGTTGTGTGATATGACACTAACGTGAGGTTTTTGTATGCCGTGTGAAGATATAATCCTGTTTAAGCTTTATGGCGGGCAGGATGTTCTTGCCAAGAGCGGGAGTGATTGCCATAAAGATAAGTGATTTTGCTCGCAAGTGTTCAATGGGCAGGCTGGCAGCGAAACGCGCCTGAGACAGCGAGGAGGAAAGTTCAAGTTCCTGGCGGCATAAAGAGACGATGTTGCAAGAGAAAATAATTAGAAACCTCCCAATCATGAAACACATCAGAACACCTTGGGTGGGTTTTAATGAGGAGAAATAAGATGCTTTGCGGTGTTTGGTCTGATAGATGCTTGGAAGCCCCTTTCCATCACCATGCTCGCAGATTTTTTGCTCATGGAACTAGATTCTGGTAGGCTAACTGTCATCGTGGTCCTTGTTAGCCATTGGATTCGGTCTTGGTGGTCGACTGATAGCGGTGATTCCATAGCCCTGCGAAGTGAATTGGCAGCTGTCCGGACAGAGATCCTTCGAGCTGAACAGACTATCAAATTTGCTAATCACTCTTTGGAAAGCTGTTTGGGTGTCAACTTTCTTCAATCATTGGCCTTGAAGTGCATTGGACTTTTTGTCCTCCAGTGTGTGTTGATTGCTGCTGGATATCTGGTGTATCGTAAGTACTTGCTGCGTGGGGTATTTTTCGAAGCTCCAGTGGTAGTGGATTTGCCAGCTGCACTGCCTAGTCCAGTTAGCTCTGGAAAGTCTCCAGAGCCTTCGAAAGTTACTCCGATTCCAGTGCGTAGTGGGCCAGTCCGGCCATCAGACCTGAAGCGATTGGCTGATCAGTATGGCCAATGATCCCAAGACCTTAGACATTCGTGAACCTCAAGTGATTCGTCATTATCCACAGGATGCTGGTGGTTTCTATTGGCATCATAGGGTGTTACTTGAAAAGACTGGTCCCGGGCAATGGATAGCGTTGACTCCTGATGGTGATTTGGAGCGTATCGATCTTACAGTTGTTCCTCACATCACTCTGGATCGTAACAGCGATTTCCCGGATGCCCAGTCCCCGTATGTATACGCCTTTGATGAAATTCCTCGGGCCCAGCTTGACCATCACAAACGCAGGGCCAAGACCATGAGTAATTTGTTCAATGATGCCACTGTGGAAGAGATAGAGAGTTTCGAATGGCTTGTTGCTGATGTCACACGTGATGATTTTGGGGAAAGCTTCAGAGCCGAAGACATGGTTGATGCTGTGTACATTCATGATTCAGCATTGGTTGAGTATGAGGGCGAAGTGGTCCATGCAGTCCGTGTTCCCACTTCCAAGAGATCGGAGTGGATTCAGCAGAGAGAGAAAACCAAAGGTGACTCTCGGCTTTTGGGAGATCACCGTGATGCACAGGGTCGTAGGTATCTTTCCTTTCAGGCTGCGCTCGATCTCATGACCTCGGTTGAGTTTTCCGATTGGCCCATCACCGGGCCCAGAGCAACAACTGAGTTTCTCCGTAGCATCCGTGAGGGAACCTCTGACCTGGTGACATATCACTTGCAGTGGGCCCGCAACAGTGGAGTGTCCTCCTATGCCGCATGTCTTCACGAACACCGATGTTTGTGTGATTACCTTCCGCACTTGATTACAGTTGACCAAGTCGATGTGTCAAATTTGTTGGGTGCCGAGATGATATGCCGTCGTCTCATCACAATTGAGACTGCCGTTGCTAGGAATCCCCAGATGCCTGATTTTAGTGGTTTGGAATTGGTGATGGAAGATAGCATTGGCCAGACAGGTGAGGCCAAAACCACCAACTTCACTGCTTGGATCAGCTCAAAGCTGAAAGAAAAGGCACAGGTCCAGAAGCAGGCCAGGCTCTATAAGGAGGAGTTTGGGAGAGGCCGTGGATCGACCGGAAGTGGTGATGCTGAACAGAAAGGTCGTGGCCGTGGTCGCGGGAAAGCCAAAGGAAAGTCGCGCGGGGGTAATGATGCCCCCGCGAGTGGCTCCTAAGTTCCTGGCAATTGGGTGGTGGATAACAAACCTTCTGCCACCCTGTTTTCTGAATTCGATCTCCGTCTTCTCTGACTGCCTTGCACCCTCGTCCAGGCCCTTTGCCTTGCTCTTCTTTGTCACTGCCCTTGTGGCATATTGGGTCGGGGGACTGGACTTGCGTTGCTTACAGATGACTTTTGGCATTCAGTGCATGAGGCATTTTGGCGAAACACTGGAACAGGAGAGGCGGCATGGTTTTGTTTTTCCGATTCCGGGTGGCGCCATTGCTGAACAGCCCACGCTGGTACGTGATTCCCTCTTTGGTTTGAACAAACTGGCAGGTGTAAAATTCAATGATGCAAGTCAGCTATTTCATCGTCCCTTGACTGCTGTTCAGAGTGTGGCTGTTGACAATGCAGGTGCAGCGGTCGCCGAAGCAGGGGAATGTCCTAGTTTGTGTGGGCGTGATGCCTTAAAGGACATGAGGAAATCCCACCCCACATATGGGGAGCCCAGCACTCTCGCACCTTTTGAAGCGGCGAAGCTGAAGATTCTTTTTTCTTTAGGTCGGCCGAAACCCATCGAGACGCTGTTGCCTCCACATGTGATTCCACTTCTCAACAGGTGGAAAACTCACATTGAGCTTTCAGCCGAAGAGGTTCGATCTAAGTTGGATGCATCGCCTGAGTGTTGCCCTAAGAGACCTTATTGGGATCCTATTCTGCAGAAGTCCAGAGATGTCCGAACCAAGTTGATTGTTGACCTGTGGAAGGTTGGAGTTGTGACGTTTCGAACATCTATCAAATCATCCATCGGCTTGTTTTTTGCGAAGAAGAAAACGCCAGAGTGGATTCGCATGGTAGTTGACTGTCGGATTAGCAATGTGCATCATAGACAGCCACCGGTCACCCGACTCGGCAGTCCTTCGTGTTTCGGCGATCTTGAGATGAGTCCCGAAGTGTTGAAGGCCAGACTTGGCCGCGACTGCAATCAAGTTGGATGGGGGGCCGAGTTGGATGTAGCCGACTGCTTCTATCAGTTTGAGATGAAACAGCTTGCCAAGTGGTTCGGCATTGATGATCCCCGCAAAACTGCAGATTGGGCAAAGGCAGGTGTTGACATCACTGAAGTTTACGATGAAGACCTGGAGACCATGGTTCTGCTAAACGATGATACAGTGGTATACCCTGTGATTGGTGCAATGCCCATGGGATGGACGTGGGCTCTCTTCTTTGCTAACGAAACGGTCGCCGCGATAGCCCGTGCGACTGCACCTGAGCGACCACTGGAGTGCCGTGAGAAGCTGCCAACGCCACAACTTTGGGAAGGTGAGACCATTACCTCCACCTATGTTGATAATGTCGCAGTTTTCGGTGCCCACAAGGTTGATGTGATCGCTCGCATGGATTCCCTCACCAAAGCATTTGCAAACCATGACATACCAGTTGTCTGGACTCAGCAGGAGCCTCTGCAGTGTTTCGAAACAGTCGGCGTGATTCTTGATTTTCGCAACCGAGTTGTCCGTAATAAACCAAGCCGCTTGTGGAAAGCCTATCTTGCTGGAAGAGAGTTGTGTCGTAGAACCAAGGTTCGCGGTGATGCTGTTGAAGTTTGGACAGGGCATGTAACATCTCTCTTCCGACTTTCTCCTTCCCTGCTGTCAGTTTTTTCGGTGATTTACCGATTCAATGCAGTGTGCCGTGGGAAGAGGGTTCGACTCTGGCCAGCAGTGCGTGCCGAGATCATGCAAGCCTCCTCACTCCTTTGGTTTGCAAGAGCCAAGCTTGATGGTAGCTTTGTCAACCAGGTTGATATGGGTGATTCCTCGACTTCTGGATATGCCATGCTGACTCGTAGTTTTGCTGAGGTTAAGATCCAGGAAGTGGCTCGTGTCCGTGAGAAATGGAGGTTCATCCCAATGCCTGATGACTTCAAATCTGCCATTGAGTTTTTTAACAGGCCTGGTAATAGGGATGAGGTTGAAAGCCGTGAGCACATCAAGGCCTTTGTCAGAGCCGGAGTGGGACCCAACACTGAGTATGGTGTTTGGCTTCAGCAAGCTTTGGTTGACGGAAATTGGTTGCAGACAAGTCCGATTGTTTCCCAGTTCAAAGCTGTTAGAAAGAGGCGTGAGGATGTTGAGGTCCCGGCATTGGTGGAACCAATTCCTTCTGATATGGTGAGCGAAGGTTCATACAAGTTGCTTTGGATGCGCAAATGGCGGAATCCCGATGAACACATCAATATCAAGGAAGGTCGGGTGCTTTTGTCGTCATTGAAGAGAGCTGCCAGGGTGTCGTCGCAATGTGGCACTAAGAAGCTAACTTTCTCTGACAACCTTAGTGCTGTGTTGGCCTTTGAGAAAGGGCGGTCGTCGAGTGCTGCGTTGAATAGGCTGTGTAAGTCTAGTGCTGCCATACAAAACGCGCTTCAGATAAAGTGGAGGATCCGACATCTTGAGACAAAGCGAAATTTAGCAGATGCACCTTCCAGAGGAAAGTGGTTCAGGACTCCAGTCCCTGACCCACATGTGATTTTAGCAGAGCCTGTCTTCAGTCCTAGCAAGCCTTCAGTGATCCCTAGTGTGTCCGCTCGTTGCAAGACTAATTTATCCCTTGATGCCTTAGTGCCTCCGCCTGGGTTGGGTTGGACTGCCGTCCATCATATGGCCAAAAATAGCACCTGTGATTCCAAGATGAGTTCCTGGCATCCTGCCAGCGGTGCATGCAATGACCATGGACGTCCGGCCTCTTCCAGCACTAGTGTAAAAAAGGCGAAGGGGGTGAAAGTCTTCTGGGAGCTGTTCTCGGGTGAAGGAAACTTGTCCAAAGCTATGAGAAGTCATAGGCTGT